AAAGGGAAAATACAGTTCTTCTGAAAAAAGCCCTCAGGATCTGGAGTTATAGGATGGCAATGAAGCCATCTAAAAAAGACTCCTTCCTTTGAGCACCCTTCCTTTCCAATCATGCCTTAGCCATTTATTGTGTCTGCATATTGTGTTTTGCTACTAAAGCAGTCTGAAATTATATTAAGAAAGAATGATAGAAAAAAAAAAAAGGAGAAAAAGGAAAAAAGAAAGATATATGCTTTGTTAACATGATTTAATGACATAGTTTTTAGACTAAAGAGATGGATTAGTACATATGGGAAATGGCAAACATGAACAAGCTGGCAAAGAAGGCAATTCAAGTCCCTTTAGATTAAGATCAGTATCTTTTTAAATTATGCCCGATAGTAGGTCAAAACTAGAATGAGCAGGGAGCCATGCCTTCAAAAAGACGATAAAGATGATTGAAGAAGGAATGGTGTGAGAAAATACAATGTTAACAGAATGGAAAAATATGCAATACTGTCTTATTCATAAGCACAAAATAAAATCCTCATGATAAATGAATGAGGAAGGCCTTGGGTCAAACAATCACTGATCAGCAAAAGCCCAGACTCATATCTATTCTAGTGTGCAGACCCAAATTCTCTTTTCTCACTATCAACAGAAATTTCACTCACATTCCCAGCCAGAACCATGGCTAGCCTTTGTTTCCTTACATGAATCACTGAACATTACATTACATTCCTTAGAAAAACGTAAGGCTTGAGTTGAGCACAACCTGAATACAGTTGCTATGATACATCCCCATCCCAGTTTCTTTCTGTTTCCTTTTCCTGTTCCAAACTCTTTTTCCCCTCTGTTTCTTGTCTTCATCCAGGGCAGGAGACTTTCCTCCTCTGCACTGCCATAAGACTCAATAAAGACTGCTGTCTGTTATTGTACTCACTCCCACATTGACCAACAGGAAATGGAAACAGAAATTCTTACATAAAATTCTTGCTTTGCTCTGGACTGCATAGGAATAGGGCACGGACTCCACAGACAACACACTAGGAACAGTGTGGGTGATAATCCTCAGAAAGTCATAGAATCACAGAATCTTTAGATTGGAAGAGACCTTTAAAGACCACCTAGTCCAACTCCACTGCAATGAACAGGGACAACTACAGCTAGACCAGGTTGCCCAAAACCCCATCCAGCCTGGTCTTGAAAGTCTCCAGGGATGGGGCACCTACATCTCTGGGCAATCTATTACAGTGCCTCAACATCCTCACTGTAAAAGACTTCCTCCCTGTATCAACTCTAAATCTATCCCTTTTAAGTTTGAAACCATTTTACCTTGTCCTATAACCACAGTCCCTTTTAAAGAGTATGACTCCCTCTTCCTGGTAGTTCCCCTTTAGACATGGAAAGGATACTGAAAAGTCCCTCTGAACTCAGAAAGGTATCTAATGTACAGGTGGAAAATGTTCCTTGACATTTGGACAAGCATTTGCGGCTTTTCATGAGAACAGTGATGAACTCAAAACAGGATTGCATGCTTTTTCAGTGAATAAGGAGAATTTGCCAAGTAAAGCTGTTAATAAAAACTGTGTAAAAACAGTGTTTTATGTAGAAATAGATAGATAGATAGATAGATAGATAGATAGATAGATAGACAGATAGACAGATAAACGGTCAATCCCCCAAACCTTAGTCTTTTAAAACCGGATGAAGTTAAAGGTAAACAAAACTGAGGAATAACCCTGAAGCGTGGAAAATGGCAGATGAAAGGACTGCATACCAGCAAATTGGCTCATATGATGGCTGCTGTCAAGTGACCCACCTGCACTGCTTGTAAGAACCAGCTATGGCTGGAAACCAAGAAATGTTGATGCTACTTTGTATTTCAAAATTATCCATCTTTTTAAGGCAAACTCTCAATCACTCCCTGATACAACCTCCACTCACTGAAGCTTTCTCTCCTCTTCCCTGAAGAATACTATTTAATCTACTGCACTCCAGAACCTCTCGCTCGGAAATTTGATGAACACATGCCTCTAGCTCCTTCTGAAATAGTTCTCTGTTCTAGAAGGTGTTCATGGCCCAGTGTATCTATTTGCAGGACTTATTCTTGGGCTGTTGCTTACACTGAATAGTGGTTTCCTCCTTAATTATGACCTGAGGGTGAATAACACATCTCTGGAACACTGATCTACAAAACTCAAATGGAAAAGTGCTGGGATGCTAAAATCAAGTATAGTCTGGGCTGCAAAAGGCTAGTGAGCCAGAGGGATTTTCAGAGCTGGAGAAGGACTTCAAAGGGGAGAAGAGTTGCAGGACTAGATGGGCAAAATAGTGAGAACAGAGGCAATTAGATCAGATGTGAACAGAGACAGAGGTCACATCCTGGATCACAACTATTTGGAATTAACGGTAGAGGAGGCATTTAGGGATTAGTATCAATAAGTAAGGGACAAGATAGAAATACATGGAAACTTGCATTTTGAACAGTCAGATATTGATTTTGATCATAGCAGAGGGATAAAGAAGTAGAAAAAGAATGAGATAAAAGGAACGAGTTGTGATGATAGTGATGAAAAGGATCAATTCTCCTCTGCACTCGCTTGGAGGTGAAAAATCCCTGGTGTGGAGTACACAGAGAAGCTATCCAAGCCTCTCACACAGCACAGAAGCAAGCTGAGCTACAAACTATGTGTGGCACACATACAGCAGGTATGCTGAACTGAACTACAACATTGCTGGTCATCCCCTCGGGGCTCTCACCACTCGCATCTCCTAACGCTGTTGAAAAGAACCATATTTTATCAGGACGTGGCACAGCTTAGGATTGCCAGCATTCTCACTTCATATTGGGAAAGAAGTGCAGCCCCCACTATGGACTGGGCTATGATGAGCATTCTGCAAAACTGCACAGCTTGGGGTTCACATTGAAGTGGTTTCATACACTCTGCATTATGACCTTTTTCAGCCAGCTGCCTCTATGGGCTCAGCAAACAGGACTCTGCTCATACACAACATGTATCTGAGGACTGTAACTCCCTTTTTTCAAAGGCTGCTTTAAGGTAAGTTTGTTGTTAAGCTATACCATACAATGCAGCATTACAAAAAGACACTTGGGTTCATTTGTTCACAGTGAACAGGAAAAGAGTTTTTATAAAGTCTACTCCTCGTGGCTTTGGTTCCTATATATGAAATACTTTTCACATAACCAAAGCTGGAAGAAGATACTGAAATGACAGAGCAGATTTATTTTTTTATACATAACTTGTGCCTTTTGTGGAAGAAAAAAAAAAAAACGTAGATCTATGGCAGAAAACAAGACGGTCAAAATAACACCAAAATTCACCAAGATCAGAAAACACATTTTTAATTTATCCTCTCTAAATGAACTCAAACTTCAGATTTTGTGACCCATTGATTGCTACGTACTTCAATATGGTGGCCACTCATGATTAAACATACTTAAAACACTCGAGATAGAGAAGACAGCTGACTTGTATAATTTCCTTTGAACCAGTCAATAAGGAGTGCTAACTGATAGAGAATATTTAATGGTATATTCAATGAATGCATACTTATATTTGCAGCAAGATGTAACTGACTGGGTCTAATGCTGTTGCTCCTGCACCCAAATAGTGTTGGACTGAGGTTTCAGTAGAAGAATTATTTGTTAACAGCGAGCCATTACCCGTAGAATCCTGGGGAAAGTAACCCACAGTCAGACTTCAAACTACAAATGTCAAAAAATTTTGTGTTGTAATACACCAAGCAAATGATACTGCACACCACAGGGAAAATAATACTGACAGGGAACAGCTAACCACTACCCCATTATTTTTTGCAATTAAAATAAGTAAGTAGAGAATGGATTTGCCCATTTTCTCCCCTTTAAAAGCCATCAGAAGTCATAGGAGGATGTTATGTATTTATATAACGATGTTTGGGGGAAAAATGAACGGACTTAGGGCAGGGAACAGTTTAAAATGGAAGGCAGCATGTCAATTGTGTGCATTTTTTTTTTTTCTACTTTATTAGGAAAGAACAGCTTTGGAGCTCAGGTCTTGAGAGGAAAAGGCACAACAGGTTACTGTACCATTGTCTGTAACCACTAAACTTCTCCTATATCAGATCCTTGAGATAAGGAGGACAGCTGCCCGGCCTTACAGGACACCACAGGCTCCTCAGAAACAAACAAAACCCACCACTGACACTTCAAACTGCTAGCAGTCCTCATGCGCAACTCCTCCACAGGCAGCAGAGGATCCTCACGGCGGGTGTATCACAACTGAGTTTCACGGACCGCTCCTAACTTTCCTGTAACGAAGCGAGGACCTGAATGGGGACAGCCGGCAGCGCAACACCAGCCCCCAAGCCCGCTGCAGACGTGGCTGCTTCTCGCACCCCGCCATACGGCCCGCTCCGCCGTTCCCTCCCGCAGGGCTCTCCCGACGAACTCCCCTGTCCGGCTTCCCTGCCGGACCGCAGTGACCCCTCGCGGGACATTTTAACACCGAATAACGTCAAACGATGTGCATTGAGTCGGGGCCGGCTGCCGCAGGCAGACCCTCGTGAGGGGCCAGGAGGCGCCGCCGCTGCGGGCGGGAGAGGCAGTTCCCGCGCTGCCCGCGTCCTGTTGCCCATCCTGGCCCGCTGCCGCGGCTTCACGTGCCGGGCCCGGCTCCACCGCGGCCCCTCCTCGCCCCCGGCTCCTACGGGGACACGGCTGGGGAGCCGCGGCTGCCGCCAGACACGAGGCCTTGCCGCAGGCCTCGCACCTCTCGGCGGTTCCCGCGGCCCGGCCGGCGGAGAGGCGGCCTCCGGACCCGAAGGGAGGGAGGCGCGGGGGTGGCGGGGCCGGCAACCGCGGACCCGGCTGCGCGGCCGGGGGGCGGCGGGGCGCGGGGCCGGCGCGGCTGCCATTTCCCCTGGCCCTTGGAGCTGCCGGGCGGGCGGGAGCGAGGGCGGGAGGAGGAGGAGGAGGAGGAGGAGAGGGAGGAGGACGGAGGGAGGGGAGAGGGAGGTGGCCGAGCCGGAGTGAACTGAGGCGCTCAGCTGCCAACACTCACACACCGCCTGCCGCCGCCGCCGCGCTGCTCCCGGGCTCCGGGCAAGAGGGGAAGGGAAGGCAGAGGAGCATAGGCGGGGGAAGTCAGAGCGGAGGGAAACGGGAGAAGGAACCTCCTCCCCGTGGCCAAAGGACTTCCATGTAGCGGGAGACAGCGGGAGAAGGCTGGCGCTCCGGAACTGTGCGAGAAGCTCTCCGAGCAAGTTACTTAATCCCTGAAGAGCAGCGGGAGGAGGGGACGGCACCGAGCTCTGTTGCCGATCGTAGTCACTATTCCCAGCCCCTCGTCGCTCGACCGCGGGCAGTTCAATGCACTATTCCAGGCTCTTTCTAGTTTCCTCCTCGGGCTAACTTCGGAGGACGCGCCGCCGCTGTCGCCCGGAGGTAAGGCGGAGAGCCTCGGAAGAAGGAAGGAGAAGTTTTGCGGGGGCTGCGCGCGGAGGAGCAGAAGATGGGCTGGAAACGCCGCTGCTTCTGGGGAGGCGGAGGCGGCGGGGACCTTCTCTGCCGGCTAACCCTGGTGTTGGGGTTCCTGCTGCCCGCCTGCAGGACGCGCCTCTACACCAACCACTGGGCTGTGCGGATAGCTGGGGGGCTGCCGGAGGCCAACCGGATAGCTAGCAAATACGGATACGTCAATATAGGACAGGTAACCCTCCTTACAACTACTTCCGAGCGAGCGGGCGGGCGGGTGAGGGACGGCCGGCTCCGGCCCGCCGCGGGCCCCGCGCCACCCCGGCCTCCCGCGGCCGGCGGAGGTGATGCGCGGGGCAGGTAGGCAGAGCCGCGCGGGGCCGGAGCCGCGCGGGCGGTGCGCAGCGCCCCCTCCGCGGCCAGGTGCGGAGCGGGGCCGCGCTACGCGGAGCCTCCCGCGGGCGAGGAGCCGGGGGCGTGGGGCCGCGGCGGGGCTCTGCCCTCCATCGCGCTGCCTCCGCGCCGAACTTCGCGCTCCCCGCCCCTCCTCCGCCAAAAAAAATCCGGAGAGCGGCGCGTCCCACGGCGAGCGCGCCTGTCCCCAGCAGCCAGGACGTGGCAGCCGCCGTCGCCGCCGCCGGGGGCGTCCCGGCCCTCCCCGAGTCGGCAGGCGAGGCGGGGAGAGGTGACAGGGTGGTCCCGCGCCGCTGTCCGGAAAGGCGCCGCGGTGCCCCGGGCGGGAGCTGGCCGGGCCGGACCGCCTGCCCACTGCTCGGTCCGCAGCCTCGCTGCCAGCTCCCCGATGAGTCGGCTCCCGGCTGCCGGCGCTGCTGGAGCGAGGCTGTGTGCAGCCCGCGGATGTTCAGCCGAAACGCACCTGAAGCCGGCCGGAGCTGGGGTCTCCCGCGGGAAAGCTCTCGGATCCCGCAGATCTAGGGGCTGCGAGGGGGGAACACCCGCGTGTGGCGGCGTGCGCCCTCGCTGCCGCAGCAAGCTCGGCTTGGGGGGTAGCGTGTCCTGAGGTCGCTTTCTCTGACAGAGGTCATGGCCGATATTTACGGTTCTCTGACAGCCTGAAAATGTGAGTCACCATCGCAGTGCATAGTGCTTGAACAACATCCAGTGCTGCTGCACCGTGTGTGTGAACATCTCTGCATCTAGACTCACCACGTGAGTCAGAAGTTTAGAAGTGATCATTTACAGGTATGGAAGCTTTCCTCTCACAATGAGTTAGTTGTAAGAATACTATTGTTAACACTACTGTGTTAACACAGTAGGCCTTTGGCTTCAGGGAGATCAGGGTGGCACTGGTTCTGTTTGTGTGGTGAAAGGAGTTCCCACATGCTGTACCATTGACCACAAGAGTTTGGAGTCTGCATCTCAGCCATTCTCCATCATTGCAATCCTGGGTGAGGTGGTCCTGCTGTTCACAAGGTAAATATTTTGCATACAAAAAGCTGATAAGTGGTATAGGCAGCACAGAACGCTTGAAATCAGCTATGCATGTGCTTGGGCAGGCGGTGCCAACTTCCCATGTGATGCATGCGGGCAGGTAGGAAATACTGCTTCCATTCAAAGGCACAGAAATTCTAAAGGAAGTTTTTGTGTCAAAATTGAATGCATTTTTACGCATACAATACAGGATATGTATGAATATGAATATAAAATACAGGAATGCATGAATAACATTTGTATATTCCTATTTCGGCCTTTGTAGCACTGCAGCAAATGACAGCAAACTGCAGGGTTCCCTTCTTCTCCCTTCTGCCTTCCCTCACCTCATCTGGGGGGCTCAGGACTGCCTTTTTGTAGCTGGCATGTCTGAACCTCCCGCTGAGTGAAGGAAAGGACCCGGTAAGCACCCTTGGCCTTCTTATGCTTCAGTGAGGTGCCATGCACACACCTATATATATTAATAATACATACATTACTGATCAGGTGTACAGATAGGAAGGAGAGAAAATAGAGACTATAAATAATGAATAACTGGAAAATACATCACTGGATATGCAGATAAAAAAGAGCATATGTGAAGGGAATCTTTAGTTATTTTGTTGTGTAGACAGGGCAACTGCCAGTAGAGGAGTAATGTAGGAAAGTCGAATGATGTGTGTATGAGAAAGAAAACATCAGCAACATTGTAAGCCAGACTGATTGGTGATTCTTTGTCTTCTGGCTGTAGCAAGCCTTCAAGTGCAAGACGCTAGGCATGTGGAAAGAAATATAACCTGTATGTATTTTTGTTGTTACGCCACATTGAAGAGCTCAGCGTTCTACTATTGTACAGTCTGCATCCAAAGAAGTCTTATGCATTCACAGTCTTAGACAAAATTTCCTTTCACAACTATCTTTTCATTATGGGCAGTTCTAAGTTTCTGGTAATTATGTGCAAAATTATCTCCAAATGTATTTCCATGGTAGCATGGCCATTGCTGTACTGGTGGTCAGTCTGCAGTAAATCTATACTTCCTTTAGTTCACAGCTGGGCCTTGTACAATTTAATTTATATTGACCTGGTTGCTAGATAGGATGGATACTTGGAGAACTCAGAGTTCACGAAGTAATTGAAATGACTGTCGTTTGACCACTTGTATCTTAACATATAAAAGTGTGGTTCAAAGTCTGTGTAAGATAGTTACGTAAGTGGCTCCAAAAATAATGACTCCTGTTTATTTCCATCTGAATGGCAAAAACACTTTAACAGTGGGGCAAATTCACAGCTACAAAACACATCACCAAGAGCTCTGCATTTTTGCCAGCGATGAACAAGACCCTGAGTGGGTGAGCTTGTGAAAATCTGTACCAGTGGAGGTGAACCACTGACACCACTGGTGAAACGTATCACCCACTGCCTCACTGTGCTCATATTTACTTTTGGGTCTCTATAAATGTTCAGCAAGAATTGATGAATGCCAGTGGGTGCCATTTTTTCCACATGGCGGACTTCAGTGACACGTCTTTGCTTCATTCACACTTCCATGTCAGATGCTGTTTTGTCAGAGTGTCCTTCTGCTGCCATCTGTCAAATGGCAACAACATGTAAGGGATATTGTCAGGAAGGTGCAACCTCTACTGCTGTCCCACCAACATCCACCTCTGACACATGGACCAATGTAATAAAATTAAAGGTATTACTTTTGGAGCAGCCCTTTTTTATTACTACTTTAAAAAAAAAAAAGAAGAAATGTAGATCATTTTCTGTGAGGGTTGTCAATCACTTATAGACAGGGGAATACGACAGTTTATATATATATATGTATATATATAGCTGTATATAAAGTGAGTAAGATAGTTTCTTTTTATAAATAGAAGTCAGGAATAGACTGAATTTATGAGTGGTGTTTGGTGGTAGCAGGTTTTATGCAGGTGTTTGGAAAAGCGGGAAATTGTTTTGCATATTACAGGAAATGTGAAAGAATATATGAGGAGGAGTAAGGATCTTTTATCTACTACTGAGAGACAATTGCAATTAATTTAAAAAGACTTGGAAGGTTTTTAAGCATTTGGAGTAAGATGTTAAAAGACATACCCTTAGCTGAATTCTCTACCACAATGCATGAAGAGAGACAAACAGTGAGCATGGTTCTATATAAGAGACAGGACTTCCCATGGTCCTTGTCTGTATACTGTGGCAGTTCAGGCCAGGCAATTAAACTTTGGTTTTGAAGATAACATCCCTTTTAGATAAACTGGAACATTGTGATTAAAGCTGAATGTGTCAGCAAGCTGTTTAATTTTGCTTGAAGAAGTTAACTATGAGTCTCATAAAAATGCACATCCATAAATAATCTGAAATGGATGAAAAAACAAGTGTAATATGCAGTAAAAATATTTGTGGTTTAATTAACTTTGAGAGCTCACCTTGAAGAAAATAAGTTCAAAAAGCTAAGTCCAAGATCTAAATCAGGCTGGTCCAAAAAACTGGATTAGTAGAAAGAACCCAAAGAAGACGTAGTGAAATTGCATACAGAAATGAGAGTTGAGCAGAGACAGCTGCAAACCAGGAACATTCCGACAATGCTTAATTGCATGATTAAAGCTGAAGGGAGTAGTGGAAAGCAGAAGAATGTTTTTGGAAGTGTTATTTTTCCCAGCTACCCTCTTAATTTTGGATGATTGCAGATGTGAGATGCTATGGGAGAGAAAGAGTTTAGGTTAGATTAGCAGTAACACAGTTAAGAGGATGCAACATTTGCGCTGTGTTTTGTTGAGATTTAACATGGAAAGGTGCCTTAAGTTGGTCAGTGTGAACCAGATTGTAGACCCAGAAGTCATAAGCATTAGACAACATCTCCCTCTTGCTACTTGGTGCATTCTGTTGGTAAGAAACATAATTTATTGCTCCTTTTTTTGGTGCTTATGTGATTTGGAGAGTATCCAGTTGAGTGAGTCTTGAAACACCTCCTAAGGTCATTTTCACTGCCTTAGTGATGACAGAAAAACTATGAAGTCTGTTTGAATGATTGGGCAAGTCACTCAGAAACTGATGGACGAGAAGTATATTAGAAAAAGCCTTGAGATCTGCTGGTAAGCAGTGGAGAACTGTAGCTCACAGCTTCTGTACATCCCTTGCTTTCAAACTTTTCTTGTGGTCTGCATTTCTTGTGAAAGAAATTTGAAGCTTCACCTTCTTTGCTTATGGAGAAGGGGTTTTCCATTAACTCCTGGGAGACTGTAGTTTTCCAGGCTGCCTGTTCTGGTTCTTGTTTTCCTGCAAATTGCTCTCTGAACTGCTCATTTTTTCTGCATTTTCCTTACTACTACCAGTGTGAAATTGGCAGTAGGTATAGCTTCTCCAAGATACCTGAATTCCTACAGTGAAACTTGTAAGGCTCTAGTAAACTAGTAAGTTAACTTTTTTCATTTATGTTTTGAAAAGCCACAGAGCAGCAATGTACACTTACTGTATTAACTGATACTTGGCTTCTTTTGGAAGACTCTGTTCCCACTTCCACTGGATGCAGGTTAAATATCAGGAAAACATGCAGTAAAACCACTTGCTGAAGTGACCACTGAGAAGAGTGGCCAGGATACCTTTCCTGGAAGACAGTGATTTTAATTGTTATAGTTAGTGCCACCATCAGCTCCTCCTTGAGCTGATATTCATATCAGTAGGCCTTCCTGTCAGATCCATCCTGTGACTTCAGACTTGCTTACTGTTATTATCGTTCCTGTGACAACTACAACTGCATTAAGGTCAATAAAGCAGATACGGTGAAGCATCAGTATAAACTA